TTGACGAGTTGCTATCCAAAAATGGCATACAAGTATTACGACTTCCCCCATACCATTGTCAGTACAACCCCATTGAAATGGTATGGGGTTTTTGTAAACAATATTACAACAAGCATATTCTTGAACAGCCTTCAGGAAAATTAAAAGTTGCTAATTTATGGAAAAAAGCACTGTCTAAATATACTCCGGAAATGTGGCTAAATAGTGTTAAACATTGTGAACAAATAATTAAGGAAGACTGGGTGCGATTGATGGGGAATGAAAGCGTGCAAGATATACCACCGATAATTATATCACTCGCAGATTCTGATGATGAATCAATTATAAGCTTTAGATCAGAATCTGCAGACGATATTTCCTTGGAGGATGAGAATCTGCTTGAATGTAGTGAAGAAGAAGATGAAAGAAAAATGGTATGCAAGGATGAGCAAATGATTTGTTTGTTAGAAACAACAGAATCTGAAAATCAGAGTGATGTGGAGCTTCTTACAGTAGAATTTGTTGATTAACTGTTTTTAATCTACATAGAACGGGAAATTTATTAATCTCTATACAATTGCACTGTATTGTATTGTTTTTTTTTACGTTTTAAAGTAATCACAGAGAATGATAAACTAGATTTCACTAGTCCTTTCTTGTTTCTCTGCATGAATATCCCACAGTAGGTTTTTATTATATTGCTATAATAAATTTGTTCCAATAACACTGGTGTAGTTATAAGTTCACCCATCTCATTTCTGTCTTTTGTATTCTTATCTGCATAAAATATACACAGTATTAAGTTCATTGTAATAATATTAAATTTGTTCAAACGCTGCTCTTAAGTTATGAGTCCACCTTTCTTATTATTTCTCTTTCAATTTGTTTTTAAATGTTCATTTGCATGGACATGCACATCTTATGCCTGCATTGTATTATATTGGATCTGTTCTAATTCTACTGTCAAGTGGAAGTTATGAAGTCACTTATCTTATTATAAGCATCTGCCTAAAATGCATAATGTAAATAGAGCCTTGACTCTCAAAACTACTCACAATTTTGTATTTTTCCCTCATAAAACTGTATTGCTGTTTCGTGTGTTTGAGATTTTGTAATAAAAACCTTTTGCTGTACAAATCATATACTATGAAGCATAATTAAGCAATTCAAAGAACGATGTCTTACACACACCTGTCCTCTGAAACAAAGTTTTTGATTTAACCACAGCTATATTCAAGTGTGTACTACAAATTTTGAATTTTAGTTTCCATGGGGCATTTTTCTATGTATGAGTTTCACTGTCTTCTTTTCCATGTAGCTGTCCTATTTGAAGTCGAAACATTTTTTAGTAATTGTAAACAGATTTAGCAGTTGTGTTTGCAAATAAATATTTAACTGCAAGCATTTTTAATGCTCTTTTTCGAAGCATTCAAACTTTTGAGACTAAAAAAAAACTAATGATGACTAGTTATCAGATATGCATAAAATTTTACCATTTGGAAAATCCATAAGTACAAAAAGTACAGAAAAATTGGTTTGCCACGTTTTGTCACTCGAACACTTTTTTCATCAAGTAAAGAAAACCATCTTAAATTTAAACAGTCAGCGTGGCAGGATATACAAGTAAATTTCCTTTATTTGCTATATGGTGGGAATTGAGTATTGTTTGTTGTCTGACCTGAATCGAAATACCTACGCACCTACAAGCGTATAATTATTTTTTTTCACTAGTAGCGTAGAGATGCACCACTATCATGCTTTGTCTGTGAGTAATAAATTCATTTTTCTCCATAATGGTAATTAAATTTGGCTAATGGAAGTGAAGTTAATGTTCACCGAGGGTCAATAACCATTCTATTTTAACGGTCTATAATAAAAATTGAGGTTATGTAACGCCTTAACAAACGAAAATTGGCGATTATTACCAGATTTTTTAAATCATTTTCACGAGGAACAGTATCTCTAGAGGGGTACATAGTTCACAGCTTGATATATTTCCTAAAAAAATAACAAATTAATTGACAATTTGAATTTACAAACCTCATCATCTACAAACCAACATGAAACCAAAACTTTTCAAACGTCGAAAAATAATGACGGAAAATATCAAAACCTAGTTAGGTGATGTTAGTGATGTTATGTTCCTTTTAATAAATCGAAATTTTTTCAAATGTGTTTTGTAGTGCGCTACTAGTGAAAAAAAATAGCATATACCTACGCCACGGTAGTGAAGATATATAGACCTCACGCTTACAATAATCCTTGACGCTTCACGTCTCGTGCTCTAATCTGCGTTCAGTCTATATAATGATTATCTTCACCATAGATAGGAGACATATATACTGTTTACTTCACTACCTTGGCCTATAATATACAAGTATTTTCCAGTCACTATTAACTCAACATGAATATCGTAGAAATTGGATTTGGGTACGTTTCTCAAAGTTCTTGGCATACTTACATACGTTAATTTATTCAACTTTTTGACTGTTTCCTTGTTTTTATACAGAAGTCCTCGGTAATTTTGTATCTACGTAAGTGGTAACCACCTGTGCTGATCAACAGATATTTGGATACTCTTTATCATTTTACTGTGTTACAAGTCCCTATTTGACAAATTATTGACAGCATCATAACCTAACAGAAGATTTCCCCCAAAAATCTCACCAAAACCCATTAATTCAACTTACACTCAACAAATTTTGAAAATTTACACTAGGGAGTGGTTTTATACTAATGGCCCCGACTTTAAATACTTGCATTTTCTGGGGCGAGGGAAGTTTTATCGAAATAATTTTCGACCAATTTTTTCCTACTAGGAAAAACAACTATTTAGACAACATGTTTTCGAATATCAATGTTAATTTTAATATGATTTTAATAAAGTTAATCCAGTTGAATTCATGTCAGACCATTCTATAAAGTATTCAAATACACAAATCTGTTATAAATAAAACTGTAGCTGAACAATACAGGCCACAACAGTTAGAGTAATAAGTTTTTTGATTTACTCGCAAATCTTGGACATTTATTAATAGTCACTTAACGATGATTGTAAACAACAAATTTAATATAAAGTCTGATTTTTTTATCTTTGCCATCGCGTGACTATTTTATTTGCAAACTGCAACAAAATTTTCTATCTCTATCAAGTAAAACATGTAAGTTTATCTGTTATTTCAGTTTAATGTCTTAATAAAAGAAGATATCACAATAACACTGATGTTAACCTTGATCCGTACGTAGTACTGGATTAGTTAGCTTACGGTCCAACAAAGGATATTTTTGTCAACGTCAGCTATCAATTGGATTACGCCTCGTGTTCTTTAACTGTGACTTGGCGTCTTTGGAACCGGGTGACGTGACAGATACCGTATGATCCTGTATTTCAACTACGCGTAGGACATAACTCTCTTTTGTCAATGAGGCGAAAACATAGCCTCTTTTGCTCTGTGTCAATCCCACCTGTTAGTTGGAGTAAGCTGTCTTCATAAACTGGGCCTCTAGCAGAGGCCCATTAAAGTTTTCAGTTCCTAATCCAAGATATGCAAAATTTGGCACCTTACGCTTCTCCTGCAATTGGTACTTGGCTGGCGATAACCAGGAGGCATTAATGAGTACGAGGAAACCAAGGGGTTGTGAGGGCGGGGAGATACTTGTATCTCACCCTCACCGGAGAACCTTTGAGGACTCGGGGAAAACGGAAAGATGGTTACCATCGCGATTACCACGCCACCGTTGTTATTAGAAGCTACCGAGGCTCTTTTAACGGGCCCAAGATCAGATGTGGAGTGGCACCGTTCCCACTACTGGTCGTCAGAGGGAAGATGTCCTTAAAGGTCTGGTCCTTGGGAAAGTGTATGATAGTATTGATAGTGCTGAGTTAGCGTTACCCCAATGGGAGACGAGGGGAGATTGTGTTCTTTTAGAGCTTGGCATCCACATAAAAGAAACCTTGTATATAAGTATGTGTCCATTTCCTTTTTTCAGTCATATTTTTGTACAACAGGCGATACATTTGTGTGGTACCCCATCTTGGGTAGACTTCGTAGAGCTGATTTAAAATGCGTAAGAATACGTCAGATTATGTGAAGAAACATCAACGGTTTCAAGCGGATATGAAGAATTTGTTGTTGAGGTAAAATGAAGGACTAGGACGATGATTAATAACGCACGGTACTAAAATGCTAAATAAAATACTTCGTAAAATTTGGTGTTGATGTTTAGTTCGCTATTGTAAAATGTCCTTTCTTTCAATAAAAATCCCGCACTAAAATTGTTTTTATTATTATTGCTGTTCTTAGTTCAAAATATCATTTTTTTTTGTTTAGTCCGGTTACTTATTAGACATGCTTTACATAACTTTTCGTTAAAAAAAATGCACTTTTTCTAGATATTGGATTGGTTTTGTCATTTAAAAGGCCTATTTAATTTTAGCAACAGCGTTCCTTGTTTTTGGATTTATTGGAAACAACATTCAAGAAAGACCTTAACCATATCATTATACGATTCAAACAGCACATTACATATCTAGGTTTGAAGTCAGCAACTGCTGTCCAGCATATTTTTGAGGATAATCAGAAAACTGATGAGAATTATTTAAAATTAAAGAATACCCTTAATAGCAGTAAATTTTTCTACTTCTTGGCCATTAAGGAATTGTGGATGTTGGTTTTAAGTATTTAGTTGTTTTCCGTTGCAAAAAATTAAGATGAGACGTCCGACTCAGTTCTATCGTTAGATCTTTGTCTTAGTTTGTCCACAAGATGTTAATATCAGTGGAGAAACGGGTTGACGTTATTATTTCGTGCAGCAAATGTGTTTGGTGTTTTGTCTTTAAGTTGTTTGTCACATTTTTTCACAGTTTTTCACGCAGTATACCTATATCATCCAACAAAGATAAGCCATGTTTGGTTATCACCTCATGCAAACAAACTTTTCATTTCATTTGTTTACCATATCTGCGACTCGAAAATATCTCCTATAAGTGGCACCGCCAAATCCAAACAACACATCGAGCGAATTTCCAGCGCTCGGTTTGTGCGCAACTCCAGGCGCCGCGACGCTGCCATCAGCTGGGGTCTGACGCCCAGTCTCGGCAGGTGCACGGTGCCTGCAACCGGCTGCCCTCATGGCAGTCCTCCCGCGATCCTAAAACATATGTGATGTATTCACTTGAACACGGTGTGAATCTTTCGCGTCGGGCGTGCACGGCTGGTCTGCTACTGCTATGGGTTCTTGGGGCCTCCATGGCGCTTCCCAAACCGCCGGACCATGCCTCCGACACGGCCGTGCACCCCCCTGTCAATCGTGGTGCCGTCAACACTCGCGACATAAATAGTCTTTATGTGGGCACAACGCCTAGTCCAAAAGGAAAAGCCGTTTCGGAAGAAACGATGACGTCCACGTCGACGGCTTTTTTTTCACCACAACCGAAAGAGAAAGAAGTTGAGCGCTATCCAGTAATATCTGTCTCATTTTCAACAGTCGAAACACCATTTATCATAGGACTGTGGATATTTTGTGCCAGCTTGGCTAAAATTGGTGAGTGTGGGATGGACTATTTGATTACGAACTACTAGGAATCAACATGATTGAAAATCGTTAAGAATGGGGGATGACGATACAAACGTTTTGTAGAAAGCTACCAGCACATAAAATTGTTTGAGTATTGGAAGTTTAAAATCATTCAAAATGACGATAACTTAAAATAGCGCGCCTCATTTTCACCGATAGAGGAAACTGTGGTAGATGTGATGATAGGCGTTGTTTAAAGTGTAGATATTTTGAGACTTGCGAATGACATTGACGAAACATCATCCTCATTCTTAATTTAGTTTATTTGAAAAAAACTTGTACATGCAAATTTGTTTAGTGTGAAATGCACAAAACTTGACGCGTAATTTCTCAAAAAAGTATTTCAAATCTAGGCGCGTAACTTTATTATTTTTATTCTACGTACACATTTTACCTATAGTTTACTCAATGGCACTCGGATTTAAGACCAATTGTTATATTCAGACATGCAATGGTGAACATACTTACAATAGTAAATATTTTTTGGGAAATATTTTTGACGTTTTGTAACTATATATAGCCAAGACACACGGATTTACCCATTTTTACATATGACGTAGGAGTATTATTTTAACAAATGGATTAGTCAATGCCTACAAAGTATCTAGTACCTCACAGAAATTAAGCCTGTCTTAAATTTCTGTCTTTTTCAAATGTAGGTATTTTTTGACATTATAAGACATGCCACTAATTTCAGGGATGATAATTAATTAGGACACAACCTCTTGGATTCTGATACAAAAAAAACAAGTTAATAAATAATTATTAATCGAGATACAAAGCTACGGACAATGTTTGCTCTCAACATACGATTGTGGGCTGAACTATCGAAGGACCATTTTAATTTGGACTAATTATTTCCATTTAACACTAACGCAACTAAATTCACAAAAATGCTCTTTATTTTGGCAGTGTTGGTTTTCCATATTTTTTAGTACTTTTACAATGAAATACGTTAAAAGAATATGAGGAACCAACTGTCACCAAAAATTAGTCTAAAGTTATTTAGACAGAACTTTTTCCTTGATGCACATCCAATTCTCTACACGTGTTAGACCGTATTTTTCAAAAACAATTTATTTAGTAATTTTTCATTTGGAAATTAACTGAATAAAGTGTAATAAAATTACTCTCTCATACAAAGTTAAAAAAAAATGAATGGATAATTTTTGAAAACCAGAAAAATTGGATGGATTCTATGTATTTGAGAATACTGCAAGTTTGAATAATAAAATAAATAAAAACACCAATTCCAAGCATATTTTTTCATTAATATTTATTTAATAATTAATTTTAATAATAAGACACACACGAACGAACACAGAAGACCGAATTTCGTACTGAATGATGAATCTTTTCAAAACTTAAAGTGTTGCTTGATTGAGACAATGTTTTTAAATGCGCTATATAAAATTCTGAAGTAATGGGTAACATGTGAACTCTTTCAGTTTATAGCACCATAGATTTCTTACAAAATCTACGTTAGCGAATTATTTACAGAATAAATAGTTCATCCGTAATTAGTAAGATTTTTCAGTCAATTGGCCAGTTTTTCATTGTCTTTACAGATATTCACTAAAATTACATTTACCTCAATAGGATCTTCAAACACTGCAAATCATTTTCGTGCTAGTTCGTCCTGGGTCATACTCATTTGTTTTTAGATCATCCTCGAATGATCAACGAAGATTACACAATTAAATATGCAAAAATGGAAAAAACTCTCGAGGAAGAAAACACGACAATTAAAATTATAATGTTTATCCTTATGAAGAATTAATAACTAAACCTTGTCCCAAGACTACATTGACCTGCAGATTTTGCTATGTTTCAAGAGCAAGGGAGAGAGTTACGTGTAAAGAACTTTCGAATTTTATCGTTTATCTAGAATGATTCCACACAACGTTTCTGAAATTTTGAGGATTTTGTTACATTTAGTTGTTGTATTACATTTTACATGTCAAAATTTACAACAAACTAATTTAAGGAAGAATGGAAGCAAGTAAATCACATTTTAAAATGTGTACATGAAATGTTTTCAATATTAACAGATTGTGAAACAAACGATATACTAGAACCTTATTTTTTTTAATGGGGAAAACGTGCGGTTGTTACAAGAAATGTGCATCATCACGTAAGCTAATTGATGTGTTATTTCTTCATTGGACAGAAAAAATTATTTTCGAGTGGTCGGCTACAAATATCAAATATTCCAATGCACATCTTTCAAATGTAAGTAAATTCTTGAGGTAATGGAGAAATACAAAGAAATTGTAACAATACTGAAAGAACTTGTCCGGTGTTGTAATTTGAGATCTAACTCGAGCTATGCGAGGAAATACGTGTTAAGTTCTCTATATGTTTAAATATTACCACACATGTAGAATGTAGATACCTAGCTGTCAAAAACAAATATGATACGTAATTTGGGGATATGGGTGCTAACTTGATGAAAATAAGAAGGTGCTGAAGCGTGAGACATGAGTGAGGTTTTCCTTTTATTCTAACGATATGAAATATGCATTACAATTTTCTCAGGAGTTTAACATCATTGTCAAATTATGTAAAAGCAGCAAATTAAAGAAGCAGGCTTTTTAGTCATATTTAATTTTGTAAAGGATTAGAAATGTATATGTAAGTGTTTGTTTACGTGATTGCATACATTTGTACTTTTAAGCTTTAGTCGTACCTATAAATGAAACGGTTGAATTTTTAGCAACGAAACTTTAACATAATTAACTGAATAAATCACAACCAATATAAAGATTGGTATAAAATTATGTGAACATAACTTCCTACACCGCTTAAGAACGACAATTAATATTCATTGTTTAATTTCTCATAGAGGGAAATTAAATATTAGAAAAAATATTCCTCAACAATTTTATTCTTAAAGTGAAAATAGAAGTTTTCCGTTTCCATCTTTCTATCATCGCGTTCTGTCCGTTCTTTCTTGGCATTTTTAGAAGTAGACGATTTATGAGATTCTAGACTGAAGACTCCAGTGAAAATCGTAAAAACTAACCAAAATACGTTCATGCCTTCTAACCAATTGATGACAAAATGTAAAAGTAATTTACTAATAATAATTTTTCAGTTCAAATGTACAATTAATATACTCATTTATCCATAGTTCCCATCAACTCTTATTTTTACCTTCAGTTACAATGTTTTTTTTAAGTAATACTAAAATATTGTTTTAAGGAGTACACAATATTATATCAAATGAATTCATGTATCCTCGCTACGAAGTTAATGATATTATCTAAAAAACAAAAAAAAATAAAGATGCTTTATCAAAAAATATGCATAGACTTTAACTGTATTTTAAAGGATGCTCTCTGCATCCGTGACTAAGCAGTAACTAAGTCTTTTGACCCAAATGTACGTTCTGCATTTCCGTTTCTTCGCCTTTTATGGTCAGCCTAATAGAAAATTATTATAAACACATGATGCCTGTAACTGCCAAACTGTTTACTTTCAAATTTAAACGTACTTTATCGTTAGCCTGAAGACTATTGGTTTTATTTACTTACTGTAAATATAGTTTTTTCTTAAAATATTCATAAATAAATAAAATTAGAAATATATGTATATAGAGTGACAATCAAAACGAAAAGGGCCATCACGTGGCTTGCGCAGTAAAACAAGTTCCGTTGGTCGAGTCTATTTATAGTTCTCGGGGGATGGAAACATAAGGCAGTAGCGCCGTTAATTTATCTTACTTTGGTACTGTATTCGTGTGTATGGTGTCAGCGTTTTGTGTGTCTTATTTTTTTAAGTTATTATTATTTATTTTGCCACTTTGTATTTATTAGAATTAAGAATTTTGTTTAATAAGGTCCTCAGAACATTTATTACTTTATGGACCTTTTATGATAAGTCAGTTACGCCACTGGCTAGGGATAGGCGCGCATCTGCAGCTCCGCCTATGTCACCTTTCGTTCTGCTTTCTGCTTGCCACTCTACCACGAGATGTTTTTTCGGGCTGATTCGATAAGTTATCGTCACTGTTAACGTTACCCAATAAATGCAGTAAAATTTAATAAAGTTTGGAACAACAAATTTAGACATTAAGAATTGTTCCAGAAAGTTCTGCATGTTTTTATCTTTCCTAAATAAAAATTAGGAGAATAAATATTAATGCCATATAAAAATTTGTAGTATGCATTCTATTTAAAAACATATTTGGTATCTTCCTGTCGATCTTTAAATTTGTTCAAAGTTTTGTATACGAGTAATTACCATTTTTCCTAAGTACCCGGCTACACATCCTCAAAAATTTAATTCATTTGCCTCAAAGTATCAGTTCTTTTGCTTGTTGTATAAATGACTATTCGTAGGAGTTACGAGTATACGGTGATTTTTTAATTTGTGATCTAATCACTCAAAAATTTGTTGGCAGAACGAAGTCGGCCGAAAAGTAGCTTGTAACTTGTCACAGAACATGAGAAAAAAACACAATTTAGGTTGTTTTTAAAGACGATCTATGTAGTTTGGTGGTGTGATGGGTAGTCCAAAATAAATCAGCAATTTAAAAAATCGCACAGTATTTGATATTTACATTCAGCTTTTTAGGCATGCCAATTTTTGTCAGAAAATTGAAATTGCAGTCACGATAAATGTAAAAATCAAACTTAAGGTCAAACTCATCGTCAATTACTAAGCAGAAACCCATCATTAGTTTGTCTACTAATGTAAGATTTGTGGTGTATTTTGAGTTGTCTTTATTTTTATAGTCAATAACTAGTAACAAAAATTGTGATTTCTAGTTAGATCAAAGTCTATTTTTCTCTTTGTTGTACACAGTTTTTGAAATTGGTCAAATATTTTTATAACAATTACGCTTAAAAACGGTGTAAAACTTTCCGAAACAGATCTTACTCCAAGGATTGTGCAACAGAGTTTTTCGAAATTTTGATAAGAAATTGGTGACAAGGGCACAACACCAAAATGTGTGTAATTAT